TGTGGGCCAATATGTGGGCTTGCCCGGAGAGATAAAGTCTAGCTTGTTTCGTGGGGTTATTATAGCGTTATATAGTTGTCTTCCTTTCGGGTTGGTAAGTCTGGATCCCTAATGGGTGTGCTTGGCATTGTAGTCACCAGCTGCTATAAATCGGTCACCTAGTAGGTCGAAGAATGTTACAAATTCTGTTTCGGAAATGCAGAAACGTGATAGGCAGTATACTGCGGCTAGGTTTAGGTAGCCGCTCTGAATTTCAATATGAATTGCTGTTGCCTGTAGATAAGGTGTAGCAAATGAAGGCAATGGATAATGCCTAATGCGATTCTTGATCAGAACGCCAGTACCTCCATGTGCCTTACCATCGGGATGATTTGTCGCATAGAAGTTATAGCCATCGAGGTGAAAATAGTTTTTATTTGTTAGGTGAGTCTCTGATATGAGCATGGCGTCAATGTCGCGTTGAGCGAGGAACTGTAAGAGCTCGCATTTGTGCTGCGAAATGCCATTTGCATTCCAGAAACATATATTTAGACAGGACATTTAAACAGATTTCTGTTTGATTAGGAGCTCCAGGAGGAGATTTTGGTTGCGCATAGGCTCCTGCATTGTTTGTTGTATTGCTACCATTGTATTTGTTATAGTTACCAGCATTGACTCAATTCCACTTGGCAATTGGGATGGATTAGCAGGGGTATGTTGGGCAGAGATTTCTGGGATCTGATTTGATTCCTGATTCTGCATTATTCCAGCTGTGGTTGGTTGAAGTGTCGGCTTAGAGACTGAGGCGTACGACCCGTTGTTGTAACTTAACGCCTGAGCAAAAGAAACTCCTGGAGTCGTAGTTGATGGTATATATGTTAAGTTTTGTCGGACGACCGGGTTTCGAGCTGCAGTTATTTGTTGGTTTAGGCGATTTTTCAATTCTTTATAGACAGGACAACCTCTATAGTTGGCAGTATGGTTTCCCCCACAGTTGCTACATTTTTTGGCAGATGGGTCCTCCTTATTTACGGGGCAGGCCTCAGTGAGATGAACATCACCACAGGCAACGCAGACTGCCCGTAGAGTGCAATAGGTTTTCGTGTGTCCATATTCCTGGCAATTTGTGCATTGGACCGGTCCATTTCGTTTGTGTGGTTCCTCAACGGTGATCCTACGGTGCAGTAGGTATTGAAGCTTGTATATTGGGTGAACTTCATTTTTACTTATATGCATACTTTCAGGTATCAGTTCTACTTTGAACATTGGCTGGGGAATTTTATTTCTATTTATTATGTTCATTGCCATTTTGACTTCGAAGCCCTTATCGTTAAGTCCATCTATTATCTCATTGATTGGGACTGTTGGTTCGATTCCTTTGATAAGCACTTGTAATCCTTTGCTACTTTTAAGTTGGTAGGTGTAATAATTCATTTTTTCATTTTCGAGGTATTTCGCAACTGATCGATAGTTTTGTTCGTCATTGACTTGTATTTTAGTTTCATTTATATTACCCCTTTTTATGTACGTGACATAGAATGTGTTTGCGCCAATTGTATCAGTTATTTTTTTGACCAGTTCAGCACAATTTGCCTGTCGAACATAAATAGGTGGCGGTCTTAATTTTTTGGCCTTGGGTGTTTGGGTGATCTCATCTTCATTTGGGACACTTAGTATCGCAAATCTATTGTTTGCTAGTGCCTTATGTGGCACAGTGTTCTCGGTTATTTTAGTTATTTTAGCTGCATTGTTGTTCTTCACATTTTGTGGGCTCAATTTTCTTTTGATTTGCACATAGCGATCGAGCCCAGTCTGAATTAACGCTCCGTTAGCATTTTTTGAACTTATTGGTTGGGAGAGTTGGGGCTTGTCGCAGTGGGTCGACAGTATCGGGCGCTGAGCAATTGCAGTGGTTGTTGTTGTGGTTGTTGTCGTCGTTGTGGTCGAAAACACAGTTTTGAGCGAGGGCATTGTACTAGTTGTTGTCGATATTAGCAAATCGTTGGTTAGGCAGTCGGGGGATGGGCACTGAGCACTCCATGACCCACTTTGCAATGCAGGGGAGAGAGAGCGTGCTCTCTCCTCGTTAACTTTCAGTGATGCAGTTTTTGTTGGTACTGCTGCCTTTGCCGATTTTGTATGATTATGATTTTGTACGGCATTTTTTGCCAGTTTAATTGAAAAAATCAAATTTTTCTAACATTTAACAGACACTGCAACATTGGGCTTAAAAAAAAATTTTTTGTAGGATATTGTTTTATTTTCAGACATGAAATTAAATAACGCCCAATCAATTCACCTATACACAAACAATATAAGCACAAAGGATATAATTTTTTTTTCTACTTTTCATGAGTTTTAAAGTCAAAATTAAAAAAAAAAATACCGCACAAAAATCATAATTTTTGCACTTGAAAGCTTAATATTTCCCAGACCGTAAGCTAAAACCACAAAGTATATTTGGTTTATTTAGCTGCGATTATAAGCTTTTTAGAATGGAAAAGTTATTATAACCAAATGTAAGATGGTTATGTGAAAAAAGAAGAGCTACCTCTGAAAAAGTTAAAAGCTGTAAAGCTCCCAATTTATCAATAACCAAAAAAGGTTTGGTTGGAAGCGGAAAAAAAGTTCAGTTTTGTAGAATAGTGTTATCAAGCCCGAACATGTGGGAGATAAAATTGAATTGTTGCGACGAATTGGGCAGTTTATGCGAGAACAAAAGCGGCAAATTCTAAGCTGACAGTCAAAGGTCTGAGTATCTGTCAAGACAACGCACAAAGCCTGACAATAAAGATAGTTGAATTTAGATTTTTGTATGTTAATTCCTCTGTATATATTATATGTGTGTCTAAGACGTGGTTTATATCTAGCGTATGTGACTTGTTAATTTTGTTCTGTGGATACAACGTTTTTCGATCGGACCGTTAGTGGTGGCAATACATGTGAACATATTTTTAAAATATGGGTGTTACTTAAACAATAGCACCAAAAGTACATCTGACATCCTAATAGGCTGCTTTTATTGTCCGAACCGAAACATTGAATACTCCGTTATGCTAAATATAATCACCGAACCATTTTTGACATATACAGATGTTATTTTTGCAGGTGACCTCAATTGAAGGAGGCTCATCTTGCAAACAATCTGGAGGCACTTGGTATAGGGCTTGAAAAACTTTCCGTACCCGTTTTCTCCAAACATGTCCTGATATGTGGAAAATATAACACCCTCCCTGAAACAGATACAGAGATAAGATACAGAGACTTTAAAAACATTGAGAATGACCTGCTGGCTAATTAATTTCACAGACTAAATTGGATAATAATATATTTATTGCACAGAGTAGGTGACCAACTCAGTGTAAGAACTCTCAAACCAAGAGAAATTACGTGGCTTAGCAATAACATCCGGCGGTGAAAAACTGCTTCGAAATATAGCGTACGCATGTGTATATATAACTACAGGTCAAGCCCCCTGCGCACTCACTTAGCTATAGCGCTAAAGAACCCACACCCATTCTTCTGATTAACACATGCTAATTTTTGCATTGATACTGAAATGGATGATAAAACGTAAAGGAACGTGTGAGTCGCTTCTGGGGACGCGACTCTACTTATACCCGTACTCAGTCAGTAAATACACTTTTGAGCTTATGATTTTTTAGAATTTTAGCATTAAACAAAAAGTTTACATTTTACATTTTTTTGCTACATCTATTATCTACATCTACATCTTCATTGTATATTATACATCTAACATGTAGATTCGACATGTACCATTTATATTTTTCATCTCCTCCGCTTCATAACGCAGCAGAGTGTGCGAGCGAGAGAGATAATGAGTAGCGGGTCTCTGGCTGTTGGAGGCGGGGGAAGCAACTGAAAATTAATTTCTTCATTCTGGCTATAATTATAATCCAATCTGATTCAGATTCGGCAGTCTGGTGGATATGGTCTTTCTCTACGATACAACGCTTGTAGTTTTATCGTATCTTTAAAATTGTGCCTGCAACAGATTTTCGTCTTTTGTGCAAGCGGAAGGGAGCGGGGCGAAATTTTGAAATACACTTGTAGCAGTGTGATATCAAATGCGTCTGGAAACCATGTTTGGTTGCCCTAGCTCTTATAGTCTCTGAGATCTAGGCGCTCATCGAGAGGGTAAACGGACAGACGGACGGACGGACGGACAGTCGGCCAGACGGACGGACGGACGGACATGGCTATATCGACTTGGCTGTTGATGCTAATCAATAATATATATACTTTATGGGGTCGGAAACATTTCCTTCTCTGTGTGCACACATAAACTTTTACTACAAATACAATATACCCCTTAACTTTTTATACCCGTACTCAAAAAAGAGTTAAGGGTTATATTAGATTTGTGGTAAAAGTGGATGTGTGTAACGCAGAGAAGGAAACGTTTCCGACCCCATAAAGTATATATATTCTTGATCAGCATCAAATGTGTAATGTGATTAGAATTAGTTATTAGAACAGCAATGAAATTCCACACGATATTTTATTTTATTTTTCTGTGTCTCTTCCTTTTCCTCATTCTCTAACGCAACAGCCACCACCCTCTTCTTATTGTTTCTATGACCCCTCATCAAAAGAATACACGATACTTCATTTTCTTCTTCTTTCGCTAACTTGTAGACACAATATAATATCGGGCGTCAACCGAAAAAAAAAACATTTTATTTTAAGAAATAAAGAGATTATATAAACTACTAATTTCCTTCCTCTTCTTAAAGAACAACTACTAACATACTACCTTTCCCCTAATTAATATTATTAGTAAATTTTAATAATTTAGCAAGGAGATATAATTAGATAGAGATACAATTAGATATAAATTAGATTCTTAATGCACTAATAAGTCAGACCAACTAATTACGTTTACAGTTAGCTTATTTTACTTACCTACCTACTAGCTAACTTTACCTATGTATTAGTTAGCAATTTCCTTCAAAAATTCAATAATTTGATCATTACAGTATATATGTAGGTAAGCTTACCGTCCTATGCACTTTCGTGTTTGATGCATCACACCTCCATCACAACTTCGTGAACATTCACTCCAGTTACTCCAATTATCCCAATGTGGATATGTACGGACTTTGGGCTCGAATATTTTCCTAGCTGAGATGTTTGCTAAATTAGTTGACTTTTGAGTAATCGCTATGTTTAAAATGTTTGGAGAGGATTTTAATGGATCTTCAGTACCCTCTTCTATTATGTCTATAGCAGGATATGTAGATATTGTTGTTGTATTCTCTAGTTTAGATGACAAGATTTTGTAATGACTTTCATTCCTTAATATTTCCAACGGCTTTAGCGTCATAACATTTTTTGTACTGGAATGTTTAGATGTAGTTTCATTTTGTATGTTTTGTTTTTTTTTGTTTCCCTTTTGCGTTATGGTCATTTCTTTTTTTTTGCGCCACAAGTTAGAGAGCTCGGATAATAATGGCTGCTTTGGTGGTATTTTGTAGGACTTTGGCTTACAATGTCTTTTCAGCCAATCTTGATGTTTCTAAAATGTAAAAAACAATTTAAATAATAATAGAATTAAAAGATAATTTAGAATTCACGAGGACTTTATTAGAAAAACAGGGACTTTTCCAGCACCTGAGATAGAATGGTTAGGGATATCACAACACTTTATGTCCTTTGAATTTTAATGGGTTTCTTTATTATACCCGTACTCAAAAAGAGTTAAGGGGTATATTAGATTTGTGGTAAAAGTGGAAGTGTGTAATGCAGAGAAGGAAAACGTTTCCGAACCCATAAAGTATATATATTCTTGATCAGCATCAATAGCCGCGTAGATATAGCCATGTCCGTCTGGCCGACTGTCCGTCTGTCCCTCTCGACGAGCGCTTAGATCTCAGAGACTATAAGAGCTAGGGCAACCAAATTTGGTTTCCAGACTCATTTGATATCACACTGCTACAAGTGTATTTCAAAATTTCGCCCCGCTCCTATCCGCCTGCACAAAGGACGAAAATCTGTGGCAGGCACAATTTTAAGGATACGATAAAACTAAAAAGTAGAGTCGCGTCCCCAGAAGCGACTCACACGTTCCTTATCGTTCTTTCGTGTTATTATGCTACACGGTTATGTTGGCTGATTGACAGCGACGTGTATTTTAGTTCTGCTGAGGAACGCCCGATGTACTGCTCCGTCTCCACGCATTGCAGTGCCTTTAATGGATCGGCCGGTCATCGATTTTCCCACTCATGTCTTACAGATACCTTATTTCTATTTCGGAATGTTGGGAGGTTCTTACATAAATATATATTGCCGAGTGGACTGCCCGGTAACAGAGGTTTACCTAATGCAATCGCCTCCCAACATGTGTCCAATGTCCCAGGTAAGGTGATCGGTGTGCACCGGTACCGTGGGAAAGGAATTTCGTTGATATATTTTGAGGAATATTTATTTATTTAATATTATTATCGATACTTATTGCGTAAGCCCCCTTGTGCCGGCCTCCTGTTTTTTGGCATGTGCTGAGTCTTCGTCTTTGCCAGGTGTTGATTTCTTCACTTGGGAGTAGCGTTGGTTGCATCGACTGCTTGCGGCGAGCCATGGGAACCATGGGAACCATGGGCACCTCTTGTAGGTGGCCGATGTGTTTGAGATTCTTCAGACTGAGTTCCCTCCAGAAGGGTACACTCAGCTGTTCTCGATGCGACGTGACATTCACCTGTGTTAACGCGGACACCACGGCCTTCCGTTTGGGATCTCCCAGATGGCTCACGTACCATGTTTAATTTAGTTCGATCCGGTGGGAATACGTCACTAAATAGGTCCCAGAGACGTTCTGGCGAGAGCTGGTTTCCACCAGAATGGTTATCTGGGCGTCGTTAATGATGACTGTCCCATGGTCCACGTGGCTGATTGCATGGAGATGACCTGGCAGATTTGCGCAATGCGTGACAGACCCCACCACCATCTGCTGGGCGCAGGTTGTCCCTTGATGTTCCCTGCAGAAGGTCGTGCCGACGGTGGCTTCGCAGTCGCCAACGTTGAGGGCTTGTGTTCCACATTCTGCTACGATGCTTCCCTCGCCGAAGTTCAGTATTTTTTTGTTGGGGTTGTACCGGGAATATCAGCAGCTTTCGGAATGTTCGTTTGGGTCGTGGGAACTTTATCAGAAATGTGAGTAGGTCGACGCTTTGGAAGACGCTCACTCTTGATACCCCTAAAAGTTCCACCAAGCTGATGTTGGTTAGGTGCTGTGCCTCGAATTCTTGGATATTGGCGGCGTCTAGTAAGGAGGGGCTGATTATGTGGATCCGTGCCAGAGTTAGTCCGAGTATGAGGTTTTCCAGGTCCGTGAGAATAATCCTGTTTTTATCAAGAATTATCTCCACCAGTTGATTTCTCTCGGCCTCGTCGGATATATTTATATTATCCATATAATGGGTCAACTCATTGAGGCGGGCCTGGATTTTGGTATTGATCTCCATCTGATTGGCCTCTGCCCTCACCAGTTGTCCTTGCTTAAAGCGCACCTATTACCAGTCGTTGAAGTCGGGCGTGCCGGCGGTGACTTTAAGGGCCGCCCCAAGTATATTGATGCTCCGCCTTTCACGATGGTGGATTTTCAGAGTGACTATCAATTTGCGGATGTGGCCTAAGTCGGTAGTAATTACTTCGGCCATCCTGTTTGGACCACATACTCTTCGTAGGATGTTACGTTTGTCGTGTGGCGTAGGTATCCGTAGCTATCCCAGATGACGGCATCTCTATCAACTATGGGGATGTAATGGGCGTTCGTATAGTCATGTAATTTTACTAGCACCTGGGCCGACGTGATCAGGGTGATAAAAATTCAGGTGGTGTCCATATTGAATTGGGTGCGGCTCGAGTGCTGCTATGTGTGGTACATTGCTCCGAGCCGGGCTCGGGTTTCAGTTTAACGTGTTGATCGAAACTTTTCCATGCTATTGGTTGTATTTTGCTGCGTGTGGTGATCACATTTCCTTGACGTTCGATGGCAGGTGTGCTGAGTCTTCGGCTTTCATGTCTGCCGGCCGCGCGTGAGTTACCGTACCGGTACCCGGCCACCCGCCGGCCAAACCTCCTCGAGCTACCCTGCAATCGTCGGCAGAGGGGTGACGCAAGTTCAGTGCTCCAGACCAAAATGCAACATCAGCATTTTGACCGGATGGCATGCAGACCACCACTCGACACAACGTGACAACAAAGTCACTATAAAAACATACAAACAAACATACATATGTACATAGATATAAGAACCATAAGCAAAAGCTTTTATTGTAATAAAGATCAGTCGAAAGACGAACATTGAACGACGAAGAGTCTTAAATTATTTGCGGATTAACATAACTCCTATAGTTTGAGCGACGAAGAGTCTTAAACCACTTACTCACTAACATAACTCGTGTGCTGAAGTTGGTAGTTATTTTTCTTTTTTTTGTCTCTTGCTGTTCCCATTTTCGTGGATTTTGATGGCGCCTGTGCTGAGTTTTCATTTTGTTGGGTGTTGACCTCGTCATTTGTGATCGTTGGTTACTTCGGCTTTGCTGCGGTGGTGGTTGATTACGTCTGCTGAGCAAGCGGTTTTTCGTTTATGGGCCGCGCGTGTGCTGCGCTCTCGTTTTTGTGTTTCTTTTTTTTCTTTCTTTTCTTTCCGTTTGGAGCTTCGTAATTTCGGTGACTGCGGATGTTCAGCTACCAATGTATAAAAAAAAGTAGTGGCTAGGGAGGTTACGGTGGGCTTGTGGTTCACCTCGTCGGTTGCATTTCTGACAATGGTGAATGCTTCGCTGAGTTTGGTTGCCTTACTTAGAGCGGTCTCAGGAGGGCTTCCTGTGCCTATCGTGACTTCGTCATTAAGTGATCCAGGCAAGCGGGGCTCTCTTAAATGTAGTAGGAAAGCTGGGCTAAATCCTGTTGGCTCAGAGACGCTGGAATTTATTGCGAGTGATATTTTCGGTATTAGTTCGTCCCAGGTGTTTCGGCGATCCCCTACAAATTGTGCAATCATGGTCTTGACCGTTCGATTGGCCCTTTCCGTTGGGTTTTCCTGAGGGCAGTATGGCGCGGTATATTGCACCTCTACTCCTGCTGTCTGTAGAAATTACCGAAACGACCGGCTCGTAAATTGCGGGCCGGTATGCCGAAATGGCTCAGTAGTCGTTCTCGAAAAGCCAGCTCCAGGGTAGCGATGGTGGTCTTTTTAAGTGGTATCAATTCGACACGCTTCGGGAAAGAGTCAAAGAAGACGAGCAGCATCGTGTTTCCCGTGAGCATCTGACCCACCACCGGCTTGTCAGCTCGTTGATCTTTTGGTACGCAGAGTTTCCATGATACATGATCGGCGCCATGGCTCAGATGTCGATATAGTTCCCCGTTGACGTAAGTGTAGTCGGGGTATTTCTGTGGCTCATCCTGGACTTGTTGTATCCTGCGCTGGAGCCAAGAGCTGACTGTCTTCTCCTCTTCGTCCGGCGCTGAATGTAATCCAAACGGCATCACTTTCCATTGATAGAGGCCACGGCCTGGTACTGTGAAAGTTTTTGCTTCTCGACTCCCGTTGGCCATTGGTATCTGCCAATATCCATTCTTTAGAACGAAAGTGGTGATAAATCGTGCGTTTTGTAGACGTTCCAAGAAGTAGTTGATTCTGGACTGTGGGTACGCGTCCGGGATGGAATATTCGTTGAGCTGTCGAAAATCCACGCACATGCGCCATTTCCCATTCTTTTTACGAACGAGTACGATTGGGGCACTGTGAGGGCTTCGGGAGGGCTCGATGAGACCTTCCGTTATCAATTGGGCTACTTCTTCGTCGATGATTCGCATCATGGCCGGGTTTTTAGGATAGTATCGTTGCTTGATGGGTCGATTATCCCTCATGACGATGGTATGCTCGGCGATGTCTGGGATGCCATTGAGAGTGGCGAACTTTGGTAGCTCCTCGTCCAGAAATGCTTGAATTTGTGGCACTATGTCGGATGGCCAAGGATCCGGGGCTGGTTCTGACTCGTCGTCGATCTCGGGGTCAAAGTGTTGGTTCGGGTCTTCTGGTAGGATGGTGGTGTCGAACGTGCTGGGTGGTTCGTTTCTGAGCGGGAATTCGATGATGTGGGCGGCAATGGGTGTGGTATCGATCATGGGTACGATATTTTGGTATGACGGGTGTAGTACTCGTGTTATACTACAGCCAAACAGGTACGTGAACGGGTGAGTCGAGAAGACGCCTCTGGTATCGCAACAACGATTTTTTGGGGCGACGAAGATCTCGGACATGGCTCTAGGCATGGCTCGATGCTGTCGATGTTGTTTTCTTGGTTCAGGGCTGATTGTCATCTCTGAGGGTGTTTCTATGTTCACTTTCTCCTTGGAGGAGATGGTACTTACATGCTCTTTTGCTGGACTTGGACCTGGGCTTCTTGTGACGAGCGCCGGGTTCCAGTGCGTTAGTGCTTGTCTCGTGTATGAAATTCTCGTAGTTTCTTTGGGGTATGTGTCCCCTGTGGTTGGCCTAGAACGCGGTTG